TGCTATAGTAGGCACGCCTGTTGTTGCCTATTGGGGGAGAGAGCCAAACGGCTCTCTTCCTCCATTTCTTAAAATTTTCTTTTTTTTTTCAATTTTTTTTACGGGCCGCGGGTTAATCGCGGCCCGTGGGGGTGTAGTCCGCGAAGCCTCCGGGTTACACCTTGTTGGCCCATGAACCACCCGCACGGGTCACGGGTCAGCCTGCAGTCCCGATTTTCACGGGTCTGGTCGACCAGTCCGTTGACACCTCTAACCTCAAGGAATGATATCAGCAAAGCAATGGCTCACAGATCTTTCAATTAAGAAGAGAACTGATGAATCTTCTTTAGGATCAAAACACAGTGAATGTTTATTTTACTATGCTCAAAACCGTGTGGCAAGAGCTGAGTAATTTTAGACCCAATTGTAGCTGTAGGAAATGCACTTGTGGGGGAGTTAAGGAATTGAATAAGCACTACCAAATGGAATACATTATGTCATTCCTTATGGAATTGAATGACTCATTTTCTCAAGCTAGGGGTCAGATTTTACTTATGGATCCCCTACTTCCTATTAACAAGGTTCTTGCACTGATTTCCCAAGGGAAGAATCAAAGGAGGATTAGTACGCAACATTTCATTGATTCTACTAGAGCAACTGCCTTTGCTTTTGGAACTGATAATTCCAAAATCGGCTTTCACAGCTAATTCAAAAGTTAATTTCTCCAACAATTTCAAATGGAAGGAACAATCTTATTGTACACATTGCAAATATCATGGACATTCCGTGGATAAATGTTACAAACTTCATGGATTTCCACCTGGTTACAAGCCAAAACCAAGAGAAAACTTCCAAAAATCATCTATGTATAACTCTGTTAATCAGTTGTCTGCTTCTGTTACTCAACAGGATGATGACAAACATATAGATCAACAGCTTGGGATTGGGAACATTGTGCAAAATTTGAATTTCAATCAATATCAACAACTAATGACAATGTTATCCACTCACTTGGCTTCGAGTGCAAACTGTACTTCAGCCGATCAGGGTAAAAATATCTCTGTAGATATATGCCATTCTATATTGTGACGCGTTTTCTACAACATGAATTTATGCCGCAAGTGTACGGTGTCAAGTTTTGTAATATAATGATTGAGTTAAGAGTGTCGAACCCACAGGGATTGTAATTCCATTTCTACCAAGTACTATAATTATTTCAGTTTTTACTTTATCTAGACGAACAAAA